AGATTATTTAATCCCCCTTCTGATTTGAGAACCGAGAATGTTAGATCCTATTCCTTCTGGGCAAATGTCAGTGACAGAAGAAATAAAAATGTTTAATTGTGAGGTGGCAGCTACATATCAAGCATTCCAAACGACTTAGCCAAATCAATCAGGATAGAGGTTACTTGTCCTCAAACATGTTCTAAGCCAGTTTAACAGGTTTGGATGCCTCTATCTGAGGATTCAAATGTTAGAATCAAACAGGTTAGACATCTTGAAAAATAAACATGGTGGGATTCGGTTCCATTGAAATATATCAGCATGCCTCAATCCAGAGGATTTAATTCTGATAACTCAGTTACAAAAAGAAAAGCTTAGTACAGGCTGAAAAGGATGGTCTTCCTCTGTTTTTCCATTATCCTTTAAGGACATAGAGACATCCTTATGGCCCTCTAAATTTGGCTCAAAATTGCCTCACAAATTGCCCTTTAAGGACTGGATTGCATAAAGCAGCCTTGATCAAGGTAGAAGCTATTACTGCATAAATGAAGTCCCTTTTATATTCATTGTGACATACATAAAAAGGGGTGGAATTTTGATTGTTTTGACACCTATTGTTTCCTCAGCCTTCGATTTCTTGAGACCATCGATTGCTCTATCAAAGAACCGTCACATCAAAATAGCAAAAATAAGCCCAGGCCTTTCAAGAAAAAGGATGCAATTTGCTTACTGTTATTTTATTATTCAAGTATTCATTTATAGTAACTTTTAAATACTTCATTAAGACTCAACCCATATCTCGCTTAAACTACTTCTAAGTCCCATTTGTGCAACTCATGCCATCAGTTGAAAAATAGCACCTTAAAGCATCTGTAATTCACCAAGTGGTTAAATCAGTGCCAATCTTTGAGAGATGGGGATTTTTTGAAATCAACCATGTAACATATTCAGTGGTAACCCATTTAATCTGGTTAAACCAAGAGACGAAATAGTCATCGGTTCCCAACTCATCCTTAGACCAGTCAGCCATTATCTCAATCAAATCCTCTTCCTGATAGTTCTAGCTACACATAATCACACTAACCAGCATTTTAGAATCACCATGTCCTCATCCATTTGCTCCGATATCTCATGAACCCTGGCACACTTCATTGCATTGCTAGCTCCTTCTTCATTGGACAACTAGGCAGCAGTAGCCACAATGTGGACACTATATATAATGTCCACAGGCGTGTTCTCCACCGCTAGATCTCCACACTGAGTTCTATACAGTAATGGAGAATCTTGCTTCTCCCTATCCTCAGCTGCTCATACAACACAACTGACTGTAGTATTAGTTGAGCCTATGCATGGCTGAGTTTATTCTGGGCCTAAATCTAATTCTCAGAGTTAGCTGATTAAGTTGACTGACTCTTTCGTGGTGTTGCTGTGTCACTCTCACCTTCCTCTAATGACCTGGTTAAGTGTGTCATAGGAGAATAGTGATCAAGTAGCCCATAGGCATATTTGTCAGGGGACATAATACCGGAGCATGAGCAGAAGTCCTTTTCTTTTCCAGTGAGGCCCAGCCTGGCCATGGAAACAGAAACAATAAAAGAGAGTGTCTGTAGCTCAGAGTTGAAATGAGGGGTCCTTGGTGCTCTCTGAGCTTGGTTGTTTTCTTGCAGACATTTCATTACCCAAACTAGGTAACATCATTAGTACTGATGATGTTACCTAGTTTAGGTAAAGAAACATGTGCAAGAAAAAAAACCAAGCTTGGGAAAATAGATCCATTTGCTAGAACCCTGACCTGCCTTCCTCAAAAGGTAGAGTAGGCGGTAAGATTCCCCTCACAGCTGCAGTTTTCTTTCCTGTACTGAAACTCAGGAATGAGGAAGCTGTGACTCTCTGTTGTTGAAGGATCAATTCCAGCAGCTGCAGCTGTGCAGCCAACTGCAAGGGATACCAGGAACTGAAGTTTTGGCAGGGGAAAGGAGAGGTAGGCCAGAAACCTCCTATTCTTACCGTAATTGTCAACGCTGCTAACATCGGAAGTTTTTGCTTTGACAACAGATGGAGATGTAGCCATTTTCTTCTTTTCGCTTTTAGAGTTAGATGATGCTGGGGAGGGGGGGATGTGCATGAGAGTTCTGCTAGACATAATAATACTGAACCTAGCATGAGAATCAAGGTTTTTGAAATAAGAGACGATAAGAATTGGCGGGCTGGAGAGCTGGAGGGAAAGCCCAAGCTTTAAACTAATTGGGGAATGTGATTTATGGCTGTTAATTGGAGGAGGGAATTGTACTTTGATACTATATGCTCAAGGGGGGGGGGGAATTCAGTTTTTGGCTTCGCTTATGTTAGTGCCGATGTTATGATTCCCGAATAAAGATTCTTTAAGGTAAACAATTCCTCAAAGTTCTTTGAAGAGTTTCATCTGTCGGACCCATGACAGTAATCTCTACTGTTCTGCAATTTTCCCATTTCTGACATCAGAGTTCATCTGAGGAAACCAAAGCACCAGGGGAAAGGGGGAGGAACAACGGCTTTGATTTGGAAGGGATCACAACCCATCGCACAGTGCAAGTGTCCAAATCAAAATATATCTGCTGGATGGCTACCCAGCTGCTAATTAAAGATGCTGTTTTTATTATTGTTGTAACTTACTTTATTTATAGGTACAGTGACCATACATTTAATGTAAAGTATCCAACTCCTTTTTTCTTTTTTTTTCCACCTTCAAGGCTGAGATAGAGTAACAGGTCCAAGGTCACCCAGCTGACTTCTGCATAAGATGGGACTGGAATTCAGTCTCCCAGATACTAGCAGGATGTCCTCACTACCACACCAATTTGCTCTTCTATCTACCTCTACATTATGTCAATTTGTGCCCCTCTCTTCCTTCCTTCCCAAAGGTCATGCTTTAGACAAAGATTACATCTGAATTTGCACTAAATACAATAAAGGAAGAGGTAAAGAAAAGGAAGTTAAGCTTTGTCTGGGTTTACACATTATACTAATTCAAAATGTAGCTTCGGCTGAACATCTTACGTGAACGTAGCCAATGTGATTTGAAAATTATAGTTAATAATTTAGCACATTGTGTGAATTCAACCCACTGTGGCTTGAGCACAATCCATAATTAAGCAAACCATGGCTAACAGTGACATAGAAAGACAATCAAGGACTCCTAACTCAGGAGTGTCAAACTCACAACGTTGTGTGATGTATCATGACTTTTTTTGCCAGGGATGGGTGCAGTTTCGCTATGATGCATCCGGCCATGGGCCGGCAGTTTGACACCCCTGCCCTAACTGTTGAAACAGCTTGAGGCAAAGATACCATTTGTCATTTGATTTCTGCACAGTAGGTAGAGATTGAAACTATTCCCTGCTGTTTCTGTCCGATGATGGTAACTTTCAAATTCTCCATATAAGCCTTTCCTGGCCTGACCTTATGCACAGATGGCTGCTTTCAGGAAATTGGTGAGTGCAGGAATATCAAAGTTACCTGATGCCATTTAAATACTGTAATGCTGAAATGTCACAATATTAAGGTACAGATTAGAAATTAGGAAGAAATCCTTGACAGCAATTCTATTTGAGTAGAATAGGTTAAGATATGTAAGGTTTTTTCCCCCTTTCACTGGAGTTTTTCAAACATCCTGGATAGTCATCTATTAGGGACAGTGAAGTAAACCCTGCAGTGTGAAGGGGGTTGGACTGGATGATCTCTGAGGTCCCCTCCGATTGTAGGATTCTATGACTGTTGCACCACCCTCACTACCAAGACTGAAAAGAAGGAACGCCTTGAATGGGTGAGGGCTAGGATGTTTAAAGGTCTGATTTCTCCCATATGAAGCCTGCCGACTGAGATCATGTGTGAAGGTCCTGTGAAGACGTCTGCATTTGGCCGGGGTGAGGGATGGGTCTCTTTAAGGGCAGGCGGTGCTGAGTTCAGCTACAAACAGTTCACCTCCCTTAGTAAAGTCTACCACAACCTTAGGGGTGAGCTATGGACTGTGGGTGGTGCAAATAATTCTGAATTATTACCATGATTCCAGGGGGCACTGCTGATCATTGACACATACAAGTAGTCCTCAACTTACAACCACAATTGAGCCCAAAGTTTCTGTTGTTAAGTGAGTTTTCCTCCATTTTACAACCTTTTTTTTGTTGCAGTTCTGAAGTGAATCCCTGCAGTTGTTAAGTTAGTAACATGGTTGTTAAGGCAATCTGCCCTCCCCGTTGATTTTGCTGGTCAGAAAGTCGCAACAGGACCCCCAGGGACGCTGCAACGGTCAAAAATATGAGTCAGTTGCCAAGTGTCTAAATCAGGGGTAGTCAACCTTGGCTCTTTTATGACTCGTGGACTTCAACTCCCAGAATTCCTGAGCCAGCTTAGCTGGCTCAGGAATTCTGGGAGTTGAAGTCCACGAGTCATAAAAGAGCCAAGGTTGACTACCCCTGGTCTAAATTTTGATTGTGTGGCCGTGGGGATGCTGCAAAAGTCCTAACTGTGAAAACCGGTGATAAAGTCATTTTTTTCAGCACCGTTGTAAACTACGAATGGTCACTAAACGAACCGTTGTAAGTCGAGGACTGCCTGCATTCATGCGTGTATACTGTATATTGCCTCAAGTGAGACGTTCCGAGTCCCGCGTTCGCCCCTTCCAATCGCTTCTCCTTCCTGACCCGCCCTGGCTGGAGGCTTCAGCCGGGAGGTCCGTCCCTCGCCCAAATTGCTGCTTTGGGCGGGGCAGGCAAGCAGGAAAGTCCAGCCAACTTTTCCATTCGGCTTCCCCAAAGACGGGACGGACCCCTCCCACCCAGAGGGACGTCGGCTTTCCTTCCTAGCGTTTTTTTTTTCCCCACAAATGCCCGGCTCCTCTTTTTCTGCCGAAAGAAAATGTTGGCGAGGGAGAACTACAAGTCCTTCCTATCGCGCAAGGCAAAGGAAGGGGGCACCGCCTCCCTTCGCCCCCCCCTCCCGCGCGCAAAAAGTGGTCCCGTCCTGGCCTTCCCGCCGCTACTTACCTGGCCGGATCCCTCTGGAGACTCTGGGCTGACTCGGCCGAGCGGCAGAGAAGGACTCAGGCTGGGCGGGACCACGAAGCAGCTCAAATACGTGGGCCCGTCCCCGGCCCGCCCCGGCCTTTCCGCTCCAGCGGCAGCCTGACTTGCCACGGCCGGTTCTCCCCCTCCCCGGCGCAGGCTGAGTGCCAGCAACTCTCCCCGAGCGGTTGAGCCTTGGCCTCATTCAAGGCTTGGAAAAACATATTTTTGCATCAAACCCTCTTCGCGGGTCCTTGATGCTCTCTGAGCTTGGTGGGTTTCTTGTAGACCTTTCATTACCAAAGTAGGCAACGTCATCATATAAGGAACGGCTGCTGGAATTGGGTCTGTCTAGTTTAACGAAGAGAAGGACGAAGGGGGACATGATAGCAGTGTTCCAATATCTCAGGGGTTGCCACAAAGAAGAGGGAGTCAAGCTATTCTCCAAAGCGCCTGAAGGCAGGACAAGAAGCAACGGATGGAAACTAATCAAGGAGAGAAGCAACCTAGAACTAAGGAGAAACTTCCTGACAGTGAGAACAATTAACCAGTGGAACAACCTGCCTCCAGAAGCGGTGAATGCTCCAACACTGGAAGTTTTTAAGAAGAGATTGGACAGCCATTTGTCCGAAATGGTATAGGGTTTCCTGCCTGAGCAGGGGCTTGGACTAGATGACCTTCAAGGTCCCTTCCAACTTTACTATTATTATTATTATTATTATTATTATTATTATTATTATTATTATTATTATTATTACTGTTATTATTATCAGTGCATGGGGTAATGAAAGGTCTGCAAAAAAAAAAAAAACCCACCACCAAGCTCAGAGCACCAGGGACTCAACAGTTCAACCCTAAGCCACAATGATTCTATCAGTACCGTAGCGCTTCGCAGAGTTGCAAAGATAAATTGGGCTTGGGATGTGCGTTTGTGAAGGAGAGCCACACAACCATATCTGTTGGATCTCCCAGGAAAGAGAAAATTGAGATACTGATGTCATTCCTAATAAATGCAGGTTCTTCCTCTATCTATCCCAAAAGTCATGAAACTTGGAAATCCGATAAGACTTAGAGGAGAAGCTAAACGCAGTGTTTCTCAACCTTGACAATTTTAAGGCATGTGGACTTCAACTCCCAGAATTCCACAGCCAGCATTGCTGGCTGTGGAATTCTGGGAGTTGAAGTCCACATGCCTTAAAATTGTCAAGGTTGAGAAACACTGAGCTAAAGGCTTAGACCTCCTTTCTGATTGAGCCTAATGACATCATGGAGCAGTGCTGGCCATTTGCAGTCCAGCAACAGAGGTAGCATCTTCCATGATGACACTGGAGATAGCCTGTCTCCCCAAGACATTAGCGTGGGGGTTTTATTGCCCTGCAAACAAACTTTCTGGAAAAGCTTTCCTCTTTACCCAAGAATCAGATTGGAAAAATGGGCAAATATTAGGCTGGTATTGTTAAAAAAAGAAAAAAAACTTTCTTAAACCGTTGTTAGGAAAGCAGAAATCTAACAAACGTGGTTTCACCTAGATTTCTTATGCAACAGTCATCAAATACAGATGGCTGTATTTACACAAGACACTACCCATTTTTTTTAAAGTCACAGCTTATAAAATTAGATCAGTGTTTGAGATTGCACAATACACTGGAATTTTTAAAAACAAAGTAATCAGATTAGGCAGTCACAGCTTTATTGCCATGAAAGCCAGGGTGGAGAATGGTCACTAAAGGGATGTCAGTCATATTATAGTACTTTCAAAACTGAACACAGTTTTTTGAATTTGTGTGTATGTGTATTACATACTATCATTTCCAGTTTTTCATGAAGCATGAATGTAAAGCTAGAAAAGAACATTTTCTTTGCTTATAGAACAGTTTTATTGATTCCTACACCAAGATTGGAAGAGTCTACCCCGTGTCTTTCAACCTTGGCAATTCCTAGTGTGGACTTCAGTTCCCAGAATTCTCTTTGCTGGTTGTGGAATTCTGGGAATTGAAGTCTACAAGCCTGGAAATTGCCATTGTTGGAAAACTCAGAACGGTTGCTGGAATTGGGTATGTCTAGTTTAATGAAGAGAAGGACGAAGGGGGACATGATAGCAGTGTTCCAATATCTCAGGGGTTTCCACAAAGAAGAGGGAGTCAAGCTATTCTCCAAAGCGCCTGGAGGCAGGACAAGGAGCAACGGATGGAAACTAATCAAGAAGAGAAGCAACCTAGAACTAAGGAGAAACTTCCTGACAGTTAGAACTTCCACATTATTCAGTGACACAATTTGCCTCCAGATGTTGTGGGCATCCCAACACTGGAGGTTTTTAAAGAAGATACTGGACAGCCATTTGTCTGAAATGGTGTAGGGTTTCCTGCCTGAGAAGGGGGTTGGACTAGAAGACCTCCAAGGTCCCTTCCAACTCTGTTATTCTGTTAATACATCTCTCTTATACGAAATCAAACTCCTACATTGCACAAGACATGACTCAATGAACCATGGTATATTAAGTAAACTTTGTTGTTGACACAACAAAAAAAACAACCCTATGTTCCATTTATTGCATTAGTGAGGCAGGCCACAGCTGCAGAAATGTTCTCCCAGACTTCCTCCCCATGTAGCAATATGAACCAAAAGCAAGCAAAACCCTTATCAACCGTATCCAATGTATGGCAGCCACAGGGAGGCATGCTGTCACAATTATAAACCCAAAGTTCTGGCTATTGTGATTAAATGTTTGTCTTGTGAAAAACAACTGGAAGGCTGGGCTTATTGCTATGGAGACCTGCACAAGAATTATTCATCACTTGTTTTCTATTCTTGTGATGTTGCCACACAGCAACATGGGGGGATGGGGAAGTCCATTTATTAACATAGCTGGTACTCTGCTAATATTTTGATGGAGATAAAAGACACTGTAAACTGGCTGAACCAAACTAAAGAGGCCACTTCATGTGGTTTGTAAACCATAGCTTAAGGGTTGCAGTTTGTGTAAATCTGGACATTGTCATTGGGGCACCAATGAGTTATGAAAAAATCAAATAGTGGCCATAACCATTTAATCTTATGTTGTGAGAGTTTGATCACACAACTGCAACTACTATTTTTACTTTCTTCATCATTCCTCCATCCCTTGTTTGTCATCCATCCATTAACTTTTTGGCAGATTCAGCCTTAACCAAACATTTGTGAGTCCTATTGATTTCAGTGACTAAAACTGGTATCAATAAAGATTTGCAATTCTATGTCATCTCACAGAGAACAGACTCCTGAAGAAACAGATGTATGATCATGGCAACCCTGTATTTACTGGGAGGTGCACCCCTTGCCTTTTTGTGCATGTTTATGGGTCTTAATATTACAGGTTGGCAACATTAAGCAGAAGCCAATGTTGGTATGTCTTAAAAGACACACTATGCTGAAGGTGCAGAAATATAATTTCTTAGGGACAAAGATTAGCATCCCTCTACTTCCTGATTTATAATTGTCTTCATTAGATAATATTATGTAAAACATTATTGATTGAGAAGGATTATTCTATCAAAGAGGATACTGTGGTATTCAGAGAAATATAATGACATATTTATCAAATTTATATAACCACACATCTTACAACAAGTGACTCTGTGTAGTGTAGAACAAAGCTAAAAACAGTTAATACTAAACAATTATTAAAATATTAAAAAGCTATCAAAACAAAACTAAAAAGAGAAATATTAGATGAAGAGATGTTAATAACAGTGGAGCCACCTCAATAATTCATCAAACCTATGGGGTCCACAGGCCTGATGGCAAAATCAGGTTTTGATGGTTCTTCAGAAAGTCAAAAGTGATGAAGCCAGGTTTGCTTCGGGGGGGGGGGCATGCTCCATAAAGAGGACACCTAAGTAGATTCTTCACCTAGAACTCAATAAGTATAACTCTCTAGGCAATGGGGTCCACAGATGTCCTCTCTGCTGGATTTGTTGAGTTGGGTAGATGCAACCGGAGAGACAGGTTCTTTAACCTAGTACCATGCCATGCCATGTTGATAATTCATTCATTCATTCATTCATTCAATTTCTATAGTCACTCATCTTAGCAAATGACTCTGGGCAGCTACGGATTTTAAAGGTCAAAACAACACTGTAACCAAACAAACAAACAAACTGGTAACCAATGCAACTCTACTAGAAACACATTCTATAACTGTGCTACTGCATTATGCACCAGTTGAAGCTTTCAAATGCTCTTCGAGGACAATCCCATGTAGATTACATTGCAGTAGTCCATCCGGGAAATGAGTAGGATGTGTATGACTCTGAGTAGACCCACTTGATCTAGAAATGGATGCAAGTGGCATACAACACAAAGTTGTACAAAGGCCCTCCTAGCCATGTCTGCCATCTGCTCTTCAAACCCAACTGATCTGGGTTGAATTTTATTTGGCAGATCACATAGCTATCATTTCTTTCAAAATTCTATTCAGGTTTTTGAGCAAATAATGAATTGGGAGCTAGTGACCCATTTCTGCCTAAAGATATATAATTTCTTCGTTCCAAACCACATTTCCATTTAGGGCTGCTCATAGTTATTTAAAATGTGTGTCTGTTTATTAATATGCCCGGATACAAAAAATCAAATTACTAACATTTCAACACGCATATAGTGGGTAAGACTGTGCTTGATTTGTGAGGGTATATCTTCTTCTTCTCCTCCTATCGAGTTTCAGTTCTCATCTTATCATGAGTTTTTAGTCCTGGCTTAAGTCAGGCAGCTCTTCTGAGACAGAGCTGCTCAGCTCTCCCCCTTTTTCTACAAGCATCAGAATCACATGGATTCTCCAAAGGAGCACAACTTGCCAGAAGATCTTACTGTTGCTCATGTGAGTACCTTATCTATTGGATTCACATGGCTCCCAGTCACAGGCCACAACTCGAGAATGAAGTGATGACACAGCGTATTCTTCAAAAACAGCTATGAGTCATACTTTGGAGCAATTCAAATTCCTTTCCAAGTCTTAAAGCACATAAAATGTATTCCTCCAGGAGCCTATACAGTAGCTCTCTGAAGACAGATTGGCATT